TTGTCAGCTCTGCGCTGCTTAAGACTGCGCCAACCAAGCTCTTCCAACATCGCGGCGATGTAATATTATATGATGTAATAGTCCTAAAATAAATATATAAGTTAATTTTGTAGACTATTATCGAAATTTTGCGAAACTTTGCTCCTGTTGATTCAGGCTATTCACTTGACCGTGGGATTTGTGAGAAAATATTATGTACATCCATGATAGTGATAGTGATGATGATGATGGTGGTGGTAATAGTAGTAAAGATGATGATGGTGGTGATGATGGAGATGATAATGAAGGTGGTGATGATGGTGATGATGATGGTGATGATATGGTCATGATCTCTTGTGGAGATGGCGATGGCGGTGATAACAAATGTTACATGACGATAATGAAAACGGCTGCTAAAGGCGTCTTTACATGCTTTCAGCTCGAAGCCGTTGAGCTGTTGATAGTAAGGTATCATATTGAGAGGAAGCTTGACTAGAAATACAAAGAACTGGCTTTTCTAGGTCTTGCAATCGGAGTGAGCAGAACTGAAAACTATTAAAGCGCATCCACTGGTGGGCAAGTCTGGAATTTGGGTTCACACGACCGTGCGTGATCTTAACTGTTGATGGGTAAGGTATTGTATTGAGAGGAAGCTTGACTAGAAATACCAACAACTGGCTTTACTAAGTCTTCCAATTGAAATGAGCACAACTGAAAACTTTTAAGTAGGATCCATTGGAGGGCAAGTCTGGATGTAGTGTTCAAACGGCCAAAGTCTGCGCGTGATCTTAACTGTTGAATTGTAAGGCATTGTTTTGAGAGAAAGCCTGACAAGAAATATAAAGACATGGCTTTTTTAAGTCTCGCAATTGGATCTATTAGAGTGCAAGTCTGGATTTAGGGTTCACACGGCCAAAGACTGCGTTTGATCTTAACTGTTGGTAGTAAGGTATCATATTGAGAGGGAGCCTGACTAGAAATACAAAGAACTGGCTTTTCTAAGTCTTGCAATCGGAGTGAGCACAACTGAAAACTTTTAATGAGTATCCATTGGAGGGCAAGTCTGGATTTTGGGTTGACAGGGCCCAAGACTGCGCGTGATCTTAACTGTTGATAGAAAGGTATCACATTGAGAGGGAGACTGACAAGAAATATAAAGAACTGGATTTTCTAAGTCTTGCAATCGGAGTGAGTACAACTGAAAWCTTTTAACCATGGTGCCGCGACCATGAGTGGTTTGAAAACTGGTGTAGCAACCCAAATTAAGGCAGGAATAATAGACCTCTTTGGCTTGAGTGTTATTTTGTCCTATTTCAGACCACGTGTCATTCTCGTGAGAGTATTCATTGTTTGAGTGGTATCCATATTGTGCACAACCAACGGGGAAAAAAAGATATTCAAGAGCGACACTTGGTAAAGAGGTCTATTTGAAGTCCTCAATCAAGTACAGACTCCTATCAGAAAATCACATGAACAGTAACAACATTGAATGTATTTTTTTACAATTTTTTTCTACAACACAATGAGCTTTTCTAACTGGGGTTTTTCAGTTAGTAAAACAGAGAACTAATTACTATAAATGGAAAGAGCATGTTAAAATACTCCAAGTTTCGAGTTCTCTTTGCTCAGCCTTAGTCTCGGTTGTGTGTAAGAATACTCAGCTATATATTCAACCAAAACCCGTGGCATTTTAAACAACTCGTACTGTTCCATAGTTCGAACAGTGCTTRCCATACAATGAACCTTAATGAAAGAAAAAAAAACGCATTTGTACAAATTGAGGCTAGGACTGAGCAAAGACAAACGTTTTGACCAAAAATTAGATTTTTTTAATTCACAKCTTGGTTAGTTTTGAACTTCCTTCCTTCAAACTTCATAGTTCTGCTAATTTTAACATGCTCTTTCCAGCTATAGTAATTATTCTCCTATCCTGTGAGTTTTGAAGACCTTTAGAATAACATATTGGTAAAATCTCATTGTCCAGATACTGATTGGTCTTCTCTGTGTTACGATTACATTAGTAATTATTATATTCAACTATCATCTTGCTCTTCTTGGTGGAAATTAATGATGGTCTGTCCTCTCTCTGGATCCCTGAGCCTGAATATCCTTACATTTCGTCCWCCACCAATAGAACTAAGGATTTGTAAAAGGCATTAGTTAGAGGGCTTGTTCATATGACTAAGGATATTCTTATTTCAATAAAGTTAGTCACCAAAAACCTAGAAAGCTGTGATCGCTGAGAATCATGGGGAAATGCTTTATATCCAACAAGTAAAGTTTTTGACACAAACTGCAGCAGTTGAGGATGCTCAGAGGAGGTTAACTTGCAACTGGTAGAAGATCTCAAGTCCATCAACAGCTATCAAGCGGTTGAAACATGTAAAATCTATCTATCCATAATCCTTGTCGGTCTCAGCTTTGTAGCTTTTCAGGTGACTAACTTTATTGAAATACGTGTATATGAATAAAAAGGTATTATATTAAAGCACTTATTTATAATAGTATTCTTCATTAATTGGTCTCACTGTACTCACATCTACAAAATGGGAACAGAGTTCCCCAAAGAACCAAGAAAGCGCCACACAGGCATCATCATCATGCATTGTTGTGAAAATTAATCAAGAGTTTCTTTTCTATTGCTGGTTTGCAATCATTCCCAAGAGAATGAAATAAAAAGACAAATTGGCCAAAATGGCAACCATTTTTCTGTCTTTCGACTCTCTTGGGAATGCTTGCAACCCATCAATACGAAATTTTGTTAGAAGGTGGCAACATTCTAATAAACTAAACTTGAATAGCCTAATTTCTGTTAAACAAATTTTGAAACAATTGTTTCATCTAGGGCCCTGTCCACACTATGCCGGATAAATTTGAATCCGCAACTTTAACACAAAAACCGAAATGTTTCGCGTCCACACTGGTTTGATCAGGGGCGGCAAAAACGCTTCATTGCACATCTAAGCATGTGCGTCAAAGCTGAAATTGAGCCCGCGTTGAATTATTAGCCTTCCCGACATGTTCCCTTGACAATCATGACGTCATCGTATTCGAAAAATTTTGGGTACCAAATGTTCTCCGTCCACACTAATACGGCTAGCCGGCGTTTTCAAATTGTTCCACTCTGGAGACCGTATTCGAAAAAATTCGCTTTCGGTAAAGAATTGTTCCGGATTCGCCCGGACTAGTGCCGGATTCGCCCGGACTAGTGTGGACGGTAGGCCTAACCGAAGAAATAAAAATTCGGATTCAAATTTATCTGGCATAGTGTGGACAGGGCCTAACATGTTTTACGATTATTGCTAATTAGTTCTCATTTTCGCACAGTGAGACCGCTGAAAATACACTAAAAGTGTTTTTTGTGYGTGTTCTGTACTCAGCCCAAATTAGTAACTTTTGTTTGGCAGTTGCTTTGTGACTATTCCTAAGAAAATTACTGTCATGACACAAAAAATTAAAAGTAGAATGGTGCAAAATTCAACGAATATTTTTCAGACTAACATTTCCTTTCTTAGTCAACACATTATTTTCTTTCAATGTCATTATCTACCACCATGTTTGCATCGGCTTTCCTGYCAAAATTAGTTGACCCCAGTTCCCTAAACATTTTGCCGTTTTGCCACAGGGAGCCCGGCTTTAGAATTTGTTCATGAATAAATGAATCAGTAAGTGCTTTATTGGGTTTCCTGTGTTGAGATTTGAAACAAGGCGCTGATACGTTGAGTTTCCGGTAATCGTACTAACCAGTAACTTGATAGCAGATTAACGTAACGTATCAGTGTAACGCTCGCCCTAGTAAAGGGCGTGCGTTACACTAATACGTTAAATTTGAATTATAAGCTGCTCTCGAATTACTTACATTAATCTGCTATCAAGTTACCAAATCTCAATACAGGAAACCCAAAGTACTTTATTGACTTATTTATCATTGGCGTCTTGTTTCAAATCTCAACACAGGAAACCCAATAAAGCACTTATTGATTTTTTYATTCATGTACAAATTTTAAAGCCGGGCTCCCTGTGGTTTTGCCCCAAATAATTGAAGCGTATTTTGACCTGTCGAACTTTAAGTGACTTTGGTAAGTCATTTGGTAAATTTGCTGGTTTGTACATTACCTCATGTCTTGTGGAGTCAGCAATATAAACTGTCTTTCCTCTTGTTCCTTAGCAACCTTGAGCATCATATTCATGCTAATACGACGGTTTACCATATCCTTAGGTAAAAAGTAATGCCATGTCGTTAAAGGGGCACTTGGATGAAAACGCCCCAATTTTTGAAAGTCCGAATAATTGAAGTATTCGAAGATAATATGACTCAATTACAATTATAAAAACCAGATTAGTGAAAATTTTAGTCTGGGAGCCACTTGCTATTGAGATATTTTGGGTTAAAAGCAGAAAGAACAATAGGGTTGAGTAAATGACGTCATTTACTCACAATTTATAAGCTGAATAAAATTGATCATTTTTGCCACGACTTTTGACTGTGAAGGAAACATGTTGCTTGACTACTATCTGGGCCATATAGATAAGTTTAAACAAGTTCCAAGTCATTTCCAATTTTCATCCAAGTGCCCCTTTAACATGTTGCATTGCAAATTTAATGTATTTCCATTTATTTCTATCATGGAGAGATTGTTTGTTCAGTCTCACGAGCTATTTTGCTACAAACACTCAACACCAAAGATCAAAATGGATTTCAGCAAAGCTAGTTTCTAGCATGTCTTGAACAATCAAAGCTCATCAAATTTAATGTGAACACGTAAAAGTATGCTTGAATGCTGTTCCCCATCATTTTTAGATGTTGTATAAATTGTGTGGAAAGTCATGGCACATGGTATGGAATGTAAACTGAACAAAACACATTACAAATCATGACCATGGAAAGTGATGGCTGTGTCATGTAGTTGAATACTTACAATCATACCAAACGTACTGTACTATCCACTCACCATGAAGACGTCAAACTCATCCAGRCACCTAAAAGGAGTCTCCATTGCTTCCCACAAGGCCATGATAAAACAGATGGTAGAAAATGATCGCTCACCACCAGACAGTGACCGGGTGTCCTTGGATGCTTTCTTTGTACCTTGGTCAACATTCACCTGCAATTGGTTTTGAACAAGTTGACAAAATTCTAGAAATTTCAAAGAAAATACAAATAATTTTGTTCCAACAATGGATATGCATCTTATTTTTCAACCATTTGACTACCGGCCACAGGCAGCTCAAGTAGTTATTTTTTAGGTAACTTACATGTCATCTGAAATAATGAATCTGAGATAATGTTTTGCCCTTTTGGCAATGAGGCAATGATAGTGATGTTAAGTTTGGGGGATGAGGTCAAAAGTCTCAGGCACCTAACATCACCAAATAAATCACTACAGTCCTTGGCAATTCAAACTTTTTAAATATGAAGGTAAATAAACAACAGTCCCCCTGCAAACCAATGCAGCTCAATTTTGGAAGATAAAACRATAAACTGTACTTCAAATTAAGCCGTTCTGGGAATTAGTTTAAGGCCAGCTGTGTATTTAAAAATCTTTACAAACTTAATTCCCAACAAAAAACGTCCTGTGGCTACGGCTTGGACATAATGCTTTGCACTGTACCTCAAGCTGCAGACTCTCCTCTGAATGGTCAAATCTCATTCTTCCAGAGTAACCTCGCTGGGATAACATCATTTGAAAGAAGAACTTAGCTCGAATAGCTATGAATTTGCGATAATCCACATAAGCAGTCGTTCTCTTTTTTAATACTTCCTCTAGACGCTAAATGGGAGAGAAAAAAAGACGAGATGCTAAAAAGGACAACAGAGTTGAGATTTGCAGGTCTGGCAGGCTATAAAAGCATGTAGGTTGCAAACAGAGTTTACAATGAACTTTTATGGTGTCAAATCCCATTCTTCAAGTAATATGATTGCAAATATTYATATCCAAGCTTGGCCAAAAAGGACCATGCACAGAATGCAATACCAGGTTATTTACTTTATAACTTTTAAGGTTGGTGTAACATTTTCATCTACTATAGAATGCTCCATGTTTGCTATTTCAGAAAAGAACAATGGACAATCCTCTTGATGAATAGTCTACTCAAGGCTGAAGACTATTAAAWAGGGCAAACAGTATTCTAAAAGATACATTTCAAGATACAGCAGTTATATGAGCAAGTACCTTGTGATAACGCYTTAAGTTTTTCATGGATTCTTTAGTTTCTAAATACTTGGTCTTGGCTTCATGGTATTGCTGTGTCACCTCTTCATGTTTGCCATGACTAAACAAATATAAAGTAAAAAAAAGAGTGTTAATATTATTTCTGAGAGTATATGTTTGTAAATCGGAACTTTTGAGGGKAGTGAGTAAAATAGAAAACAATTGAGTAAAACATGAGGCATTAAAAAACAGTGAGATGAAACTAAAACAGATGAAAACGATAGAACAAATATTAATCTTATTGGAAAAGATATCTACTAAATTGTCCTCAGAAACGAAGAGTACCTTTGTTAGTTTCAACAGACAAGTTTTACTTGGCTTAGTAGTTTGTAAACTATTAGTGTAGTATATTGCTTTTTCGTCTACAACCTGTATTTGCCTGAGGTATGTTTTCAATGGGATCACTCTAAAATAATACTCTGTGTTTGTAGCTGTTCGTGTGGATTCAATGCTAGACCAGGTGGATCCAGGATTTTTAAAATAGGGGTGACAATTATAGGCTTAGGGAACCTTGGGCCAATAACATAGGAAACCCATGAAAAATGGTAAAATAGTGAAAATAATCTCAAATGCATTGGGAGAAGACCTCCACCACCCCTGGTCTGCCCCTGTGATGCACTTGTTTATAATAATTGCATCTTGAATGGCTTTTAATTCAAAATACTGCCCTCTATTACTTTGCAGGGGTGCAYACCATGCACAGTACACACACATTGTGACTTGATATGGGGTGCTTCCCATTAGCATMAAACTTTTTCTTTTATTCGATCCCATATTTTTTATCCAAGTTSTATTTACTTTTGTTCCTCAGTCCTGATTCTCCGTTCTTTCTGGTGTATTTCAGTCTCCAGACTCTTAACAGTTTTYCTCGTTTCTACTCTTTCACAGTAATCAGTAGCTTGTCCTGTGATCTCCTGTTGACATGACGGAATTGAAGCATGAGGATCAACTGGCCTACTTTGGCAATGGCTAATTGATAGTTTCAAGCAATTTTTCAAGTCTTGTCAGGTGTCCCTAGCTTTGGACAGGACAATTTAGGCATTAGTAACTAAGAAATTAAGCCTATTTGACTTTSTATGGCAATGAGTAAWGGTATGATTTTTTGTAACTGCTAYAAGAMCTATACAGATGTACAAGAAAACTGTTTCATATTCAAGAAATAGAAAACGCATGTGTGTGCCAATAAAGTCTTAAAGCATGMTGATATAGATGGAAGGAATGTTTATAAACATTGCTATTAGGATGTAAAAATAATGCAAACCATTTTAACAAATAATAGGTTTTGTCACTTTGCTTTGTTGGATTGTCCGATAGATTTCTGGTTGTCAATCAATCAAAACAAATTTTGTCATCAAATCCCCACCTATTAGGACACAGCAAGTAATTTTYTTAAATATAAAATACAAATAATAGCTGTTATTTTGAATAGAAAGTGCTCCCAATCAATATTAGAAKCATTCTTTATAATAGTTATTTCATAAATTAGTACTAATGTTATGATAWAATAAATTACAGTGGATAGTAACACTGCCGATACCTCAACATRTTGCTGAAAATTTCTGAGTTCTATCTCAGCTTTCTGAAAGGCATCGCTAGCTTCTTTGCACTTCTTTTCAAAATGGGACTTGTTGTTCTTCTGCTGGGCTATTTTCATTGTGATTTCATCTTGTTGTTGCTGATAAATTGTGAAAATATTAATTAACATATTACATTTTTTCACTGTGCSCATGACAAACAGGACTAACACTGGGGTTAGCATCAGTCCAATTCACTTCTTTATTGAGTCTTGTCCAAATTTGTTGTCTAGCTTTACTTGTAAACGAGAAAATAATCTCATAAGGAAATAAAATATTATCCGTAGTTATAAAAGTGAATAAATAGGCTTTTGTATGTTTTTGATAAGTCTTTAAGTTTTACACTCAAAGAATAYTTGAAAGATTTACAGTAAACTCGCCTATGRACTGACTTGCCTACCCAAACTTGCCCACGTATAAAATCAAGTTGATTTGTAGGCACTGGGGCTCAAGTTCCCTGTAATTCCTTGTAATCTTGAAATAAGTCTTGGTTTTTAKCTTTCTTTATAATGTTTATTTTCGTTAAAGGTTTTATATAATTCTCAAACTTGGAATCTTGAYRAAACTTGATTTTACACGTAGGCAAGTTTGGGTAGTTCAGTCCGTAGGTGACATGCTAAACTAATTTTTTTATTGATGGAATGTTTTAAAAACCAGTRTTATCCCTTATTGATTGTGAATATTTGTTACCAAAGTGTTGYCTACCTTTAGAGGATCATGTTTCTCCATTACTTCCTGCATTTTTTCATGGTGATGCTGTTTCTTCAGTTCCTGTTTTTGAACAGCTTCCTGTGCCTTTTCAAAGTCCTCCTCTASTTGTGTCAACTTGAAATGAAAATAAAATGGCAAGGCAAGGTCAAACTATGAAAACTTCAAAGCTGGAAACAATCATGGAATGAATGAATGGAATATCAAAGAATGTACACAGACTACTGGTATTGGAAATCATTCTGATTGACTGAATCACTAAATAAAAGAATGATTAAATATATAAATAAGTATTAATAACAAACTATAACAAAAATGGTTAATGATTATAAGGAGCCTTGATAGTCTGAGGGGATTAATGTGCATTTTCAACTGCTATCTATATGAGAATTAGGAAACCAGTCCCTGCATTATCAAAATAAAATAATTGCATCCTTATCTTTTTTTAGTTTTTTTAAATGCAAGACTATTCCATAGTATGTGTTTCAAGCTTTAAAAATATGATTTTTTGAATACCTGTGATTTTAACTCTTCTATTTGCTGGGTATAAGATGCCCGTTCGTCTTCCTGAAGAATTTAAGGAGTCATGATTAGCATAGGTAATCGTATGGGGCTGAGTAAAATTAAGAATAAATTAATTTCATGAGTGTTTTCCAAGTTTTGAAATTGCTTGAGTCGTATCATATAAAGGGCAAAATTCAACGAAAAAATGCATTGATCCTGAACTATCAAATAGCTTCAATTCAAATGTAGTTATGGTTCAAACAAATTTTATTCAGAATTTCAAACATAAAAGATTGGGTCAAAAACCATAAAAATATGCATAAAACTAGATTCCTATCAACAAAGTTTTTAATCTGAATCAGAATATAAAGGAAAAAGCCGATTAAAGTGGCGTTTTGACTGATTAATACCAGACCAAGATGGTTGTGCTATATACGGTMAAAAAGAGCTATGAGGTTTTATACATTGGCTTTCTAATATTAAGCTTTGTGGAATAGGCTCCTAGGCAAAATTTGAAAACTATGCTACAAGATGGTGTTTTGGATACGGTTAATGTCACTTTTTGTTCATTGTTGTGAGTGGTTGTAGGTGGATGTTGGTGGTTTTAGACGGTTCTAGGTTGTTGTAGGTGGTTGTAGGTGGTTGTAGGTGGTTGTAGGTGGTTGTAGGTGGTTTTAGGCCATTCCAGGTTTTAGCAGCTACGTTCTTCGCCTGCCAAATTATTCAAAACATGAAGACATTTTTGCAAAAAAAAAGTATAGGATTTGYGAGCATTGCTAGGCAACTGAACCAACGATCATACTCTAGTAATTTGGCCCTGAAAATTATGGAAAAAAGCCCTCCTTCTTAAGCCTATCAGCATCAAGTAATTAATTTTGCTTTGTATGTGATAATTGCCATAATCATGACTACCAAAGATTTGGAACTGGAATTCAAAGCTCAAGAGTCTCTGCATTAGTTTACTCAAATCTGTGTAATATCCAGATTACCTCTGGTCAGTGATGCCACCTTTATCACACCATAATTGCATAACTTTGTTTATGTGATTTTGGCAAGGAAACCAAGAGTTTGATCAATCACAAGTGTCCATTTTAGTATATTTTAATGGACACAAACTAAAAAAACACAAGTAGCCCAACAAGGAACACAAATACTGGAAAACTTTGACGCTTTTACTTTCACTTGCTTCACTTATGACTCTGCAAGCCTCAGAGAGGTCAGAATGGAGCAAGTCTGGAGTGAGCTCAATTTTATCTGGAGTAACCTCAATTATATGAAGCCCCAAAACAATCTCTGAGATGATCATTGTCAGGGTAGCACTAATTCATTAAAATGGACTTTAGCTTGTTTGGTTTTGCAGAGGAAGCCAAGCCAAAGGAGAGGGCTAACAAACTCTACTCACAGAGCCTAGAGGTAGGAGGCAAATGTATTGTTGATTTGAAACCAACTATTTCAAACTTTTGAAGAATTACACTTACCAGTGTAGTTAAATCAGGTAACTCTTCCTCTTCATAGTTTTCTAACTCTGAAATTTCCTGAAAGCAAAGAAAAGGAATCAGTTTTAAATATTATAACAAAATTATTTAGGATTAAAGAATGTTTATGTCAGAGCATTACTTGTATATACATACCCCCATAAGACGGTTGACTGTTTCTTGCTCTCTCATGGCTTTTTTTCTTGAGCTTTGTAACTCTCTCTGAMATTAGTATGGGAATACCATGATTTGTAAGGATTTTGGCTTAAGTGTCAGGAGTGATATCTCAAATTTGTTTGTATTTTCATGCCTATATACCACTACCTGAGAATTTCAAGTGACACCATCTTAGTTTTTAGTTTTTCTCAGCAAACCTAACAGTAGAAATTTCAACATAGATCTATATATGGCTGTGTATGGTATGCTATGTTTATGAATGCTCCAAAGAGAAGTCCTTTAAAGACACTCTTTTCAAGATTTTAGTAGGTTTTCCTACAGACAATACATTTATCATGTCAAGTTCATTCAAGGTCAAATTAAAAATTTTGCGTTTTTAACRCGACATCATGGCGTTCACARTTCTTGTCTCTATAATTTGATGTTCATGGTAATGTTTTTCTAGTATACAAAATGTATAATGAAGCAATTATTGAATTCGGTTATCGCATAATATCATAAATTATCAAGACCTCGGCTGTGTTATCTGCCTCAGCCTTCGGCTTCRGCAGAAAACACAGCCTCAGTCTTGATAATTTATGATATCATGCTCAACCTCATCCAATAATTGCTTAATATATATATAAATACCCAATCATAACAGCTACATAACTACAAACAAAACACTTATTAAGYTATGCAATACTGTACAGATGCCGCGCTAGTTTGCTACAGCCATGATCGCTAACACACATCAAAAAGAAATATGTATTGTGTACCTTGCTGTCATTGATGTTTGATTCCAATTCAGTGTACTCTCGCTGCARCTGTTGATGGTGTTGCTCCYGTTGTCGAAGGTCACTTTCTAAACGCCTGAATGATAGGCCAAAAAAATTTAACACCTGGACATCCAAATCATGCATTTTCCCACTTATAAAAAATCCTTTATTATTGAAAGTWACTAATATAAAATGCACAAAAGAGTTCCATGTTACCTTATTTCCTGTTCTATATCCTGCTGTAGATATCTTGCATTACTATTTTGTGCTGCATAGGACTTGGCGGAATTTCCACCAATGATCTGATCACCATTGCCTGCMTATGCCTACAGAWGACATACAAGAAATTATACATCACCTGCATTACTWACACAACCAATTTCTGCAAAGCTTATATTCTAAGACACATCTTTAGAATTGTGTCATATTTTCATCGACATATTACTGATAATCTAGGTTTGCTAAGTAAACATTTAACTGTTAAGTTACATGAAGAAACCTAATAAACATGAATTTAAAAACGTATATGAAAATATATAGATTGTAGATAGATCGAATACAAGACATCACTTTGGCTGTTACTCCGAATTTCACATTTATATGAATTAATTAAAGTCTGTCTGATGATCGCGTAAGAGTGAGATTCAGAGTAACAGCTATAGTGATGTCTTGTATTTGATCTATCTACAATCTACTATGCTCTGCAGCTTATTGCATTGAGCACTCTACTGACAGTATAGACTCAAACATCCAGATTTATGAAAAAATATACAAATGTTTATAAAATATTTGATAATTTGATTTAATAATGTGCTCGCTGATTGGCTTGCTCCATGTTTATATCAAAAGACAGAGACAGGGTTGCACAAAATTGTTAAAAATATTTCGTGAAAGCAATGTAAAAACAGCTTCTTATGTGTCTGTACTGTTATGCAAACATTATGGGAGCTGGTAGAGGAAGTRGAGCACTTGAAAAGCAAGAGAARCACTCGGCTACACCTTGTGTTCATAAGCTTACTTCTCTCATACTATACAACTCCTAGCAATATGTTTATATTACATTACAGAGATATGAGTGCGCATTTTAGATTACTTATTATAAATTTAATATGAACTAATGATATCCAGGTGATCTCACCTCGAAGCACAAAGGATTATTCGTCAAATCAAACAGTTCCTAATACCCTGATCTCTTATTTCATTATATCTCACGGTAATCAAAATGGCGGCTGGTGACTAATTAAGACAACACCCATTTTGCTTACTTTTATTGCATTTATGCTATGTTTTTATTAATTTGAATTGCTGATAGGACAAGAGGAAGCTTTTATGGTAGATGTTAAGTCATATCTCAGGACATATTTTAAAAAGGTTAACTCGAAAATATGACTCCATTTTGAAATTCATCTCATAGAATTTTTGGCGATGCAACAAAAATGCTTCGTATTGGTTAATAGTAACCAGAAGTATGTGCATTAGATCACCTGGAAATGAACAACTTTACAAAAACTTGTTGGATTCAYTTTTTCTTAGCATGGGCAAACCAAACCTGGTTATGCAGCCAGACAGCCCCTCAGCCCACTCAGCTAACACTGCAGCCAGGTGGGTCCCTTAGTTATCTGCACATATACACTGTGACATAGTGTACATTCTCTGTGCGCAAGGATGGTCTCATCACTGGGGCTTTATTATCAGTACATTTTCTATAGGCACCYAAGCGTTTGACATATAGATAGCTTTTACTAGAAGTTTGTTCTCACAATTCTTGCTCCTTGYGGTGGTGGTGTAGAAAACATGACATCACGGGCTTCCTTGGGGTTTTGTATCAACAATATAGTCTCTACACCAGCCTGAAAAAAATCAAAACTAATTCTCAAAATTGTTTGCTAAAATAAAGCAAAAGGAAGAATCTGTACCATAGTAAGATATCAATCATGTCAAGTATCATCCTGAGACAATTTGCAAAATGTGACACCAATATGTTTTTCTATCTCTATCTTTATCTTTCAATTAATGGATAAGTAACAAGATGAGTAGCAGGGTGGGAGGAGATAGACAAGTGGAATGGGAGTGGGTGGATGGGGGAGAGAAGAAAAGGGATAAAGTGTCAGAGTTTGCATGTGCAAATATCAAGCCCAGAAAAAGGACACATTTAACTGTATGGATTTAATGTTATATGTATCAAGACTCTATCAAGACGAGCAATAAAATAGTAGCAGAAAGTTATACATTGTCATGATAGGCTTTTTCTTTATTGTGTCTGTATTAGAGTATTACCTGGTCAATAAGGCAGTTGGCAACAACTGGGTTATTAATAACCAGTTCATCTAGTACTGTGCTGTAAGAACATCGTGGCCTCTGGAAATCATAATTATAAACTCATTTTAATAGTTCATTAAGAAAACACAACAGAAATTATGACCGTGAAGAAATTTATAATTCTGATTTAAAATCAATTTTTCATTTGCATAAACTTTAACCTGGATTTTCTCTACTTTTATCTCGAAAATTTTAGTAAAACAAAAAATAACTAACCTAGATGTTTGATAAGTAATATATTTGCATTCATGTTGTATAAGATATGAAAACTGCACTGAATGCAACAGTTCATTTAGTTAAGCCTTAATTTTTTTTCTRGGGCCACAAGAAAATGGAGCCAACGCTGCATGGATCGCAAGGATCGTAAATGAAGTCCAAGATCAGCCAGATTTACCACAAATAAATGGCCTAAAAATGTTCTACTCATGCAGTGCTGGAGCTCCACACTATATTACAGACAGATATTTCAGTCCTGGCACTTACGATAACCAATGAATGAATGGAATACAATGAAGGCAAATGAGAACCAGCTAGACCTTCTTTGTTTCATAAATACATAAATACAATCTATAAAGAACCTCTATACTAGTTGTTGTATGTTTAAGTGGGGTGCTGTGAGCCTTCTTTTTGCAAGAAGAGGCGAGAGGTAATGAATGTCAATCAAACAACGACAATAAATAAACATTCCAGACATTTGAAATGTCAACACTGTGATAATAATGACTATCATGTAAAGTTATTCAAAAGGTGCAAGTGAGATAATAATTATGGTAGTGAACACCATTAATTTGCTGCTTGTTAATTTGGATATAAAACATGCTAACATTTCTATCGTTCCAAAGTGGTAAAGTTAACTTTATTTAAATAAATGAAGTAGCAGAAAGTTAAAACAAACTTACATTGTGTGAGACATCATAAACATGATCCTGGAACCTGCTGATGATGATCTGTGGCACATTGTTCTTAGGACACACTTGAAGCATCATCTGACGCAGCATTTGTTGATCATGGCTGTCATGGCAGCAGAAGGCCCATGCTAGCCCTTTGAGACATGACTCCACTGCTAGGGCCCACTTTTGGTCTTTTAAAGTCAGGTGTGCTCCTGATAAGATAKTTAAATTGCATGCATCATTATTTACACTGCCTAAGTGAGCTGAAAGACCAATTTGATAATTTGAAACTTGTTGATCATTTCTGATGAACTTGTAGTTGTCAGTTTCTAACATGCCAYGGTATAGCATTTATCCCTTGTAACGTGGTTGCTTGTTTTAAGTTGCTTTTTTTAAGTTGCCTTTTTTAAACTTTTAGAGCTTTTCCCAATTAAAAATATGCTGTTTCAAAATTCAAAAGTACCGTGTTGCTTCTTTATTATAAACATTGCATTTACTCACTCAGGGTTATTCCATTTCAAAATAGTCCAACTTAAACAATGAAATTTTACAGACCTACACTTAAGAGTACAGAGGTAAGACTCTGYAAAGCAAGTGGGAAATAATTATTTTTGACCACCCTTGAAATTTTGTGTGCAAGTAGRCCATTATATGGGATCCTACTGTATATAGGACTTGACATCATCACTATTAAAATACTAATTACAATCAAGGAGTTCTCTTCACTGTGTTTGTTATAAACGCTAAAATTAATCAGTTTGCCCGTGGTTAGTCAAATCATAAGGCCTAAAATTCAAAATGTCCTACATATCTAAGCTTCGAAAATTAGCACCAAAGAGATGCAATAAGCTAAACAAGGAATGATGAAAAGGTAAATTATACACTGTGAAAAGATGAAAAAACTTACTAAAAAAACTTTCACAGTGTATAATTTACCTTTTCATCATTACTGTTTCATTAGAAACACCGACGCAGCTCACACTAGTTTTTAGCTAGTTATATCTTTTTAAGCTAAACAAGCATATGAGGTTTAAGGGTAATACCTAAACAACAAAATTATAGCAAAAAATTAATTTTTATTCAATTTTTTTTACCGTAAAATTAATTTTTATTCAAAGTAAACAAAGGGTTATTTGCAATTTTCGTCATTTTCAACCTTCCTTTATTAGTTCATCGTGTCTTTTGTGGTGCTCAACTTTCAAAATTTACACAGGGAAATGTTTCTTGGAAACTCAATAAGCATTCATCGAGCTACCCTGGTTGTAAAGAGCTAAAATCCCAGAAAATAATAAAGTGGTTCTATAAAGGAATTTCAACAGACTGACACAAGTCATCGAATTCTCGTGTAATAAACAATTCAGCATTTATAGTTTCTTCGAGCTTCAAAATTCCTGTATTTCATGAAAGAATTACCTGTAAACTGTTGTTTAACATGAATACTGAGCTTTTGAAGGGTACAACGTAAAAAATATGCTCATTTTTAGGAATATTGGAAAGAAATAATTCTTGATCTAATATTGTCGTTCTCATTTTCAACCGCTCACCAGAAGTATGGAAGCTGATGTACCCACAGAAATTTTGCACGATTTGGTAACTTCAATGTCTCGTAAAACTTCCCACCAAGCCTCTATATTAGGACTGCAATACTATTGGACAACGACCAAAATACGTTTTGACCATTTTAGCTTGTTGCTAAAACAGTTGATGCATCTGTTACTTGAAGGCACAAATATTTCATGTACAAAATAATAAACTAACAATAATTGGTATTTTTCTAAACTAGAAAAGATACTTTATAATTGACAAAAGTTTTAAACGGACTCTGAGGTATTAGACAGATCAAAGCTTAAAATATACATCAAACCTTGTTGATTTTGAAAATTGAAATAAAAATTCCATGAAATGCGTTTTTTGGGGTGATATTGTCCRTCAAAGTTGGGAAATGACTTATTCTGGGCTCCCTGTGGAATATCACGAATTTGATGGCTTGGGATTAATGTGGTGTGATGACGTCAGATAGTGGAACATGTTGGATAGCTGGAGTTGAATGAGCCAAATTTCGCTATTCAAGTATGGCTGTTCTTTATCAATTTGAGGCGGAAATTGCTTGAGGAGAAGAATATAATACTCCYGATGAAAGTGTGAGCGAGGAACGTGAGCTAGAAGAAGTGGCGTACGAGGAAAGGCTTCGAGTAACTTCATCTTCACTTCCATCTTCTTTAAAGCCAGTATCTTCCTCATACATTTAGGGAAGGTAGATCTTATCTTAGATACCACACATGCTGGGATTAYCTGATCTTCTTGCCAAGATAACCATGCACCCACAATGTATTAAAGTTGGCGATGACTAGCACAACGCAGAGAGCTGAAAAAGCACTTCAGTGAAATGAATATGCATTGAACGTATATTAAATAGAAAATACCAAAAAAAACTCATTTATTTGGAATATATGAACGTAATAGAAAATACTGAAAAAAAGAAACTTACTTATCTGTAACATTTGTTCAATTTGGAATGAGCCTTCTCTGTCATGAATGGAAACTAAGCACATCTCGATTCAGCCACAATAGTTGTAATGCATGTCATGTCTAAAAATTACGCTAAGTTTAACATCAGAAAATATTGAAATAATCTTCCGTGAAATAAAATGTTCTATTTACTTAATAACCTTGCGTATTGTCATATTTTCGTGATTCAAGCTYATTTAACAACATAAACACATATCAGCTAGCTGGTTCCATCACGACACATTGCTGACTTTAATCGATTCCTTGAAGCCTTTCCTTGCYCGYCACTTCTTCTAGCTCACTTTCCTTGCTCACACTTTCATCTGGTGTATTATATTCTTAGACTTATTATATTCTTAAACTTAGAGCACTGTAACATAATTTTTAGACATGACATGCATCACGACTATTGTGTCTGAATTGAGATGTGCTTAGGCTGCATTTAATAGTTTCCCTTCATGACAGAGAAGGTGCATTCCAAATTGAACAAATGTTACAGATAATTGAGTTTCTTTTTTCAGTATTTTCTATTGTGTTCATATATTCCAAAGAAGTGAGTTTTTTYYCCGGTATTTTCTATTTAATATACATTCACAATGCATATTCATTTCGCTGATATGCTTTTTCAGCTTTCTGTGTTGTGCTAGTTGTCGCCAATTTACATGGTGAGTGCATGGTTATCTTAGCAAGAAGATCAGAAGAGTAATCCCAGCATGTGTGGTATCTAAGATAAGATCTACCATCCCTGAATGTATGAGGAAGATACTGGCTTTAAAGAAGATGGAAGTGAAGATGAAGTTGCTGACACGTTTGCCACTTCTTCTAGCTCACTTTGGGGATTCTATCCCCCACATAAACAAGCAGTGACATCATAGTGAAATAGGGCAATTAAGTTTACAGTGTGCGACTACATCAACCAAGGCCACCCAAACAAATTTCAAATCAAATTCACAACTCACATTTTTAACGCCACATAACAGATTAATTAGTGAATTCTGGGTTTTAAACTGTTTCTTGTTCACTTCTGATCATACACACACTTGTATAGAGTAAAATATATGACTTTAAAGAGAAAAATGTGAAAATTTGTACAGATTCTAATGTTTAAAATAATACTCAATTGTAATTGGCTAATTTGTATGAACATTTGTCTGGGTGGCYTTAGTTGGTGTAGTCGCACAGTAACGTGTATGAGAAACACAGCATTGAATTTTACCTTTGCATCCCATGTAATAACCTACTTGCACACCAAATTTCAAAGGTGGACAAAAAATTTCATTTCCCACTTTGCTTGAGTCTTACAGAGACCTACTCTTAACAACTCATGAATGTTTTGCCATAAAAGATTCAAAATATAATTTCCACACTACCTATTGGTCCAACCGGAACACGATGAAACCTTCTCTCAGCCTGTTTGACTCTTTTCAACAGTTCAGGAACCCAAGCACCAAAGATACTCAATTTGTCACCTCTGCTGCTCTGGAGATTATGAAGATTGCGCTTAATGGAATCTACTGTTCTGCTTGAATCAGACACTTCATTCCTGAACAATAAAAATGAGTTATAAGTAAGTTGCATATCATGGCAAGCTTTTCAAATCAACATTTCATTTTKTTGTTGTTGAGATTTTGCACATTAGAAAATGAGGTCCCCTTCAAGATGCATTGAACCACTTTCCAACCCCCTTAATATGCCCAAGCCCATCCAACAATCAACAATTAAGAAATTATTAGTTAAGGCYTCCATCAGTGGTTCTTTTACATCCAATGCAGGGTAAGGTAGCGTGGACAGATGAGACAGCCATTTTATTTATTGACCTCATCTAAGCCACATGCAACTTTACCATTTAACCATGACCTACTTCACCAAAGTCTAATGCTCAACTAACAGTACAACCAGGTGGCAGTTAATAAAAACCATGAGAAGCATCTCTCTCTGTTGTCTMGGCCTACCTTAACCCATAAGATCTTTCTTTCCCTCTACTTATTGCCTTTTCTAACTGTTCCCTGTGGTGAGTTGTTGTTGATAGCTGGTTCTGAGAAGCATGCAGTTCCTCTCTCTTGGACTGCAGTTCTGACTGTCTTTGATTCCTTTCAGTCTCTAAGTCCCTCATCGCGCTAAAAATGAAAATAGATGTCCAATAAAAATAATGTTACCTAAATCAACTTTTGTATCAAATGCTTTGCTGTGGACATCCAGTGTGCTGTTGTGTTTTTATTTTATCTATAATTATTAAAAAATGTGAAGCCAGTTAATTAAGTGTAGCGTGGTGCTAACACACYACCTCTCACTGATGTGGTGGCTACTATGATTATTGGATCCCCCCCCAAAAAAATGTGAGCAAAAATAAATAAWAAATAAATAAATCACTTAATAAACTCAAAAAGAAAAAAAAAATTTAATGTGTTTTTGCTGCCCAGTATTATCTTATTGCCAGTAGGAACAATTAACTCAGAACGAATATGTAACTGCTTCAGTGACTTTTACCCCCATATTCCTTTTAGGTCTATAGTTGCRTATAGGCTTCAGMCGTTTGACAACGACATTTTTGCAAYTGACTGRTTCCSCCGTCTACTCTTGCTAATTTGGCCACCTATTCAGCTACTTYCCAATGTAATTGTATAGCTTGATTAAAGTTCTTTAAACTAGCAAAATGTGTGAATAAAATAAATTTTAACCCAATCTTTGTTGCTGTACTACGTAAACTGCAACAGAATCAAAACTACATTGTCCGCCATCTTGAACTTTTGTGAGAAGAGTGAGACTGGTGACAAATATACCTCGACTACATGCTACAGTGATTTCCGGTTTACCGCYTATTTTAATTTCATAACCGYCTACCAAAAATTTTATTGACAACCCTGGACTGTATGTATATGTCCAATTTGACCCCAATATAACATAAAACTTTGAACTTTTAATCATTCATATAACTTTCAACTCGAATGATGATTTTTGGTTGTTGCAACTACTTTTTAGGATTTTCCTCAAAAGAAGCAACTATATACATGTGAAGCCAATTCCCCCACCTTCCTCATCACAAGGCTTGTCATCTATGTGCACCACAGAACGTTTAAAAGTATTTACAACTTATTAAAAATACATGGATGGAAATAGTCCAACACTTACGTTTGTTTAATCTCCTTGATTTTGTCAATTAGTTGCTTTTCATCCATTTTTACAGATGCCATGTCCTGTTTTAGCTTTTTTAGATTAGACTACAACAATCAACACAGTAGAATATTAGCTACACGTTTACAGGTTGCATATTTATTGGTGCATCAGGATTTGTGCTGGATTCCCCCAAAAAAGGACATTCAAAACATTTACCTAAAGCCTAATTATTTGTGGTTTGCATCCCAACAGATTTTTGRGGGATAATCACATGTAGTCCAAATAACCAACATTTCCATAATGACAAAAAAATTGCTTATTAATCAATTATTTTTTACTGATATTTTATATTATTGAGAATAAAAACCAAGAACACGAGTGACAAMACATTTTCAAACCTGACTGCAATAGAATATTTCTACTTTTCAAGAAGTATTCAAGAGTGTTTCAATAAGTTTCATTTTTCCAAGAGCTTTTTATGTGCCCTTAAATTTGTGTCATAAATCCAAGGGCTTTTCAAGTATCTGCATGAACCTTGTGGATAATGCAAGYGAGATATTTAATAAAATTTATATTATACATAGGAAAGTTTTCACTTTTAAGAGTTGATAGTTCCAGTCAGTTTACAGTAATACTCAAGGGAATCACACACACTTTGGAAATAGAGAAGCTGAAAATTTGTGAAATCATCTGTTAAAAAACATGATAAGAGATTGAAAACTACTCAGAATTGCCACAAGATCCCATACCTGCTTTTCTCTGAAAACATKCTTCTTCTGTCTCAGACAAGTATCTATTTCTGCTTTTTGTTCCTGAACTTTTCTTGCATCTTCTGTGACGAGATTCACTGATTCCTGGACAGATTGCCATTCCTGCTCCAATTCTGCAATCTTATTCTGAAAATCCCAAGGCACAAGGTAATGTTGAATATATTATTACCAATGATTAAGATAAAGATCTGGTTAATAAAGACATCAAGTCTTTGATGGTTAACTCAATTAATGCAAGAGCATTAGTTTACATTGAGGTCAAAGCCTACATATTCAATAAAACTAACAGTTGCATAATGCAAATGAAATGCTGCAAGTATGTGTGTATAAGATGATATCAAGAGATGTTTATGCTATGTGAAAACAATAGGTAGATTGAGGAAGATCGGGTGATTGATTATCTTTTGCCTCTGGGCAATCGGTGTGATATATTACGTGTGTCAATGGCCGACTGTTTTGTTTCGCTTGCCTCAATGGGCAAGGACCAGCGAGCTGTCAGGCACAAAGTTGAGTGATGACCTCTCGGTATCTGGGATGGTTTGTCTTTTTAAGTGCACTCAAGTGCATAAGGAACTGATCTACTGTGGCGGCAGTCCAGTGTTCGATTGGCAAAGTCTGAGCACATAACAGCGCTGAAAAGCTCATGAAAGAACATTGTCTTCCCCTTAGAAATGTCACTAAATCATTCATGACCTTGATGAATGCTAACAGCAGTAAATAAGTTTTTGACATAATTAGAGTATGAAAAAGAAGGCTCTAAGAAGCRAACCTTGGTAAACAGCAAATCAAGCAACGTGCTTTCAATGTCACACAAATTCATGATAAAACCTGCTGAACAAACATACTGCATACTCCGAAAATCATCTCGACAACCACATATTGAGATTCTTACGGRCAYATAGCACACAGGGATCCCAATTGTAAAGATTAGTCTTGCTGCAAGCCTGATGGCTCASAGCAATAAAGGTAGATGGGAACTGTACTCTAATATCTATTTGATGGTTCCTATTATTGATAGACGGTAGTCTATAACTTGTCATGGCTTTTGTCTTCTTCAGGACATAGCAAAGAAAATAAGATAAACAAATAAATCTTCAAAAATCTATTTCATACAGTGGGGCCTCTATTAAGCGGTCACCCTCTATTCACCGGCCACCTTTCAAAGTCCCAAAAAATATGGCACTAAATTACTGTTTTTAGTACCTCTATTCAACAGCCAACTCTATTAAGTGGTCACGGTCACTATTTTCCTACCGCAACGGTAATATTAGCGGCCACTAAGCCTCGTGTTAAAATGTTTAACTGAGATGTTAGAATGAATAGGCGACAATTGATAATGACAGAATAATTGTAATTTAATTCGTTGTAACAKGAGGTTAATTAGCTATAATGACAATCAAGCAAGACGTAAATATCCGCTCTCTACCACAGCATATAAAAATTTAAAGTATTAAAGCTCGACGTTCTGTTCTGCTACAAGATAACAATAGTGTACGTCTATAAAAATCCTTGCTCCTCAAGTTTTGTTTTAAGGTATTAGGATACGTTTACGACCACTATGCGCGCAAACTTAAATAACGCGCTGGCTTTATAGTGTAACACAAACAAAGTATACATTTYCTGAAAGCTGWGTAAATATAGTTTATGAAGAAATCTTCAAAATACGATTTTTTTAATTGTTGTWCACATTATTGTCCTCGAAGCGAAATTTGACCATGTCTCAGTGAAAACGTTAASGGACACGTACATTTTAAGTTATGTTTGYGAAAAATGGCTTAACATACTCAGGAGATAATAAGCTCAAAAAGGGTGTCCCAGATTTTTGATATCTGTTTTCTATCTCTTGCTATTTTTGATCAAAGTTCGGCTATTGCTTTTGGAGTGTTGTTTAGAGTAAAAAGCGTCATAACTTTGGAAAGAAATTAAATTTCAAAATTCGGAGACATCCTTTTTTGGATCATGAGTTACTTTATAAACTCTYCAAATTTTAGAAAAATCGAATGAAATCCAAGGGACTTTTAGCTTTTTGAAGTTGAGGTTTTAGCGGCAAAAACGATTCAAGAAAAATGCATTTCTTTGTTTGGAGCTGGAAGCTGCAGGGAGCCACGATGGTGTTGGCCAAAACACTTTGAGCCTTCCATTTTGTCATCACTTGTCAAATTATCTGGTGTTCTGGACGATCGCAATGTAGAATCTTTTTACAATGACAAAGGAGCATGACAGACGTGCATATATTAAGTGACGGTGCATTTCCGGTCTTGATAAAGTCACGATTTCGATTTTTCTCAAAATTTTGGCTTTTCCAATCAAAAATTGCAAGAAGTTTCACAAACATATGAAAGATAAAAGTTTGAAATTACGAAATTATAAAGAAATTTTTTTTTTTGAGCAATTCGTCAATTTTTGCATCCCAATACCTTAAGCCATTGAATAGAGAACTCGTCTCCTGTGAAGCAGTACTTACTTGGAATTTCCATACCGTAACCTACCCATCTGTTCACACGCTTGCCTTTCAYAACAACTTTGCTTTGATTCGTCGCTCTCTTTAAAAATTTTAACACCCATAAAGCCATAAGTTTTGGAATATGCCCAAGAACAGTTTCACCATTCTGTATCTCATTTTTATGGCTTGGCTTGCGAGTAGACCTCCTATRCGCACTAATCGCTAATTGTGTTTTGTTATATYTAAAAGTAATTCTAATTAACAGTGTTTTAAGAGTCGAACTATCCATTTTACTGTGTACATTCAATACAATATAGTTAATTGCCGAAAACAGGATTTTTTATTGAATTTCTATTAAGCGGCCAACYTCTATCCATTTTTTCTGGTCCCGAGGGTGACCACTAAATAAAGGTCCCACTGTATTTCAATTGAAATTCCAAATGTAATGGGGTAAGGCCTTCCCCAGAAATGGTCCCAGTGCCAAGTGCTTGTTGCATTTAAAGTCGTAGTAAGAAATCTTTTAACACCTAAAATATGTGTGGAATGCATTGTCTTCTGATCAAGCAAGTCGCTATAATGAATTGCAACCATCAATCCAGTTTGTGCCAAAATTAGTTGCAAGTCACAAAATATTTCCTATGCCAAGATAGTTCCTCACATTTTTCAAAAGATAAAAATAAAATGATTATAAAGTTTGAAACTATTRAATGAAATTTATTTTGCTGCAATCCAGATAAGGTTAATCTTGGTAAGCATTCTAGAGATATTTTTAGGTGTTTAAAGTTAAAATGCTATACAACTAGCATTTTAGCATACATACATAGGAATACTTTATAAACTAACCTGACATTCCACAACATTCTGTTGGTATCTTGGTTCTCTTTCTTTTTGATTATTCACTTCTTTTTCCTTAGGAACAAGTTTCTACAGCAATATTAAAAATATTGAATAAAATATTTYAAATAATTCCACAAACACTGGGTTTAAAAGCAAACCAAGATAACATTATCCCCTCAGCCCACCAGGCTARCACTGCAGCAAGGTAAGTCCCTTAGTTATCTGCACATGTGCAACTTAGGATGGTCTCATCAGTAGGGACATGAGGAAAGTACAGTAATTTGCAGTCTACATGTAGTTCAGTTGTTTTTGTATGAACAATACACAAAGATACAATATTCTGATTTGCTGAGCAGAAATGATGTGTTTTGTGATTGATTCAACATTTAATGATTTTTCACAATGGCCCTCTTTACACTAGAGATGAAAAATGTGTTGAAACCTGTAATGCATCTAGGCTAAAGACTGGTAAAATATGAGACGAGTTTGAGGATTTGATGCCTGTCAAGAGCACGTAAAATGGGCCTGGCACTAGGATATTCAWYTATGYGAAAATTCCAGGTTTCATACTTTCTTCATCAGTTGCCCGTCTTTATATTGTCAGACCATCAAACTTCAATTAATTCCTCATTCAAAATTCATGAAATCAAGTTGTGCACCTAAATGCATAAAGCGACTTCTGCCTGTCTTTATAACCGACAAACTTAGAGACACAAAAAATGATGCACTATAAAAGTTTGGCAACTTTTCCAGAGACATTATGCGTCTCTAGTATAAAAATGGCCAATCATATACAATCTACTCYAATGTGCACAGTACTTTTTCCAGCTCAATAACTTCAGCCCAAACTCTTTCTTTCTTCAGCTCTCCTACTTGTTCTTTCATGGTTTTCAACTGAGCAATGTCTTTGTATTTTTCTTCTAGTCTTTGTACTTCTTTCTTCATTTCTGGTAAAGTCTGTGAACAACACCTCAGTTATTAGACAATAAACTCATTGTGCACTTGTATGCTAGGTGTCGTTAAATACACTCTGTTGAAATATGAGTTTTTGCTTTCTGTAAAATCTAAAGACTTTACAAATTTAAATGGGTGCAAATTGAAATTTAATAAAGTCTTAATATAACTTCCCTTAATGAAAGAACTGTGATATTCAAATTAGTTGTACGAGTTAGCTATGCCCTGACYTTTTTCAGGCAAAAGGTTGTTTAAGGATATGATCTAGGAGTATTCTTGGTTTTCACCTACAGTATGTCATCAAAACGTTTGCAAGGATTTATATAAAACAAAACTTCCACAGGCCGAAAGAGTAGCCAAAACTATATCTCAGCCAAAATTCTAGCTAAAAGAAGTCTTAGATACGAAGATACAGCATTTGATTATGGCCATAATTTAGTTGAAATGTATGGGTCCGCCATCTTGGTGTCTCATTGAGGGACACCAATATGGCAGCCAAATCATGAAGGTTAAAAATGGTTCCAAACATTTCAAATTCTCAATAACAATAATCATAATAGCAAAGTTACCAATCATCTACCAAGTTAAAAYGTATCATTTCAATCAAATTTCCCTATTCCTAATGCTTTGAAAATGTGACAGAATTGAACTCGCAATAAATCTAAAACCAAACATCGATAATTATACAAAATTATTTTGGCTAGACTTTTCTTATAATGCTATAAACAAAATATTCGACAAACAGTTTTGTGAGGTGAATACTTTGCATTTTAGTTTTAGTAAGGACGCTAATACTTAATTAGTGCGTTTAATTAGCTGAAGCACTTTCACTTAGCACTCAATAGGAATAAGACTTCGAACTACAGCTTTAAAGAATTTTTCCCGCCCACCCCTCCACTATAGAGGTAGTCAAGAGTTATTTGTGTAATATTTTTGCTTTCTCAATGTTGGCTTATTATTCAGGGGAATAATAGTAAATATGTTTGTAAATTATAGACTTAGGATTTAAATATATATATACACATGTTTTTATCTGTATATTCATAGTATTGAGTTATGTTAATAAAGACTACCTGAACCCATTCCAGAGTCTAGTGTGATTTAGAAGATTTCTCAAGAGAAGCAATGATCCGATGATACTTCAAACTATTAGGCATGCCTTATATTGAAAATATATATAAAATGAGACAGGCATTATTTACTCTTCAAAAACTCATTAMTAATTCATGAAGGAAACAATAGAAATCATGACCATGAAGGTGATTTTATGTCTGATATTGATTCGTCTTCATTTGMATAAACTTTAACTTGGATTTTCTCTATCAAACTTGGTTCATTTCATAAAAATTCAGTACAATATGATAAAATACATCATCAGTTTTTGAAGCAGTTCAATAAACTCGCAGATCATGTTTTATCGGGTCTAAAACCACTTGGCTGCACCTCGTGTTTTATACCCGATAAAACACTCCTGCGAGTTTATTATATCCTTCCAGAAAATCTGAYATCTTCAGTGAATCCTAATACCTGTATCAGATACTCATTCTTACAATACAAGATTTTCAGCTAATGATAATTTCTATAAAAMACGAGTAAAAACAAATTTTGTCAAATTTACATATTATAATTTAAGTATTTATAAAATTTGGGAAACAATTCCCAAATCAATCAAAAGTCTTCCTCATTCATCCGTCAAACAGATGTATAAGGAATTCTTACCCAATAACAATATATCATATTATACACACCTAATTGAAAAGACGTTGTCAGGTTCAAAAAAGGGTTATACCATCAAAGCTAAGACCGAAGGGGAGCATGGGAAGACAAACAATTATGCTAATTTCATGCGTATTGCAGTTTTCCTTTCCTGTGCACATTTTATGCATCATGGCTTTGGCAGGTTGTTAATCTAGGTCGACCAACTTTGCTCTACTGTGCATTTTTACAAGTCTATATGCAAATATAATACTTATTTCGGAGTACCCAAAATCCTTTTCGGTCTTAGCTTTGATGATATGATCTTCTGGATTCGACTACGTTTTTTCAATTAGGTGTATGTATATAYATAATTGTCTCATTTGTCTCTTTTTTTTATTTTTCTGTTTTCGCTATAGTTGAAATTTATGCTGCTAAATTTAATTTTATAGTATTATTATAATATCATAGCCTTGTAGTTGTTTTTCTTCTTTTTCTCCATTTTTTCTTCTTTGATCCTAAATGAAAATTAGGACAGCCAACTAGAAAGCTTTAGCT